TTGAAATGTCTCAGCTCTCAACCCAAAAAAACACGCAACCATACTTAGCCGCCACCCCTCTATATAAACACACACTTATTGTCCTAAAACATAACAAACATTTCAAGAACTTACCCAAAAAAAAAAAACTCAATCATGGATTTCCCCAAAACCCTAATAATCTTCTTCACCACAATCCTCACTTGCTCGATTCTCTTCGCCTCGACTCCCGCCCGAGCCGCCATTTTCGACATCACCAACCGATGTCCTTACACCGTCTGGGCTGCCGCCTCACCCGGCGGCGGCCGCAGGCTCGACCGAGGACAGTCCTGGCAGATCAACGTGGCCCCGGGCACCGTCCAGGCCCGAATCTGGGGTCGGACGAACTGCAATTTTGACGGGTCGGGCCGCGGCCGTTGCCAGACGGGCGACTGTAACGGGCTCCTCGAGTGTCGGGGCTACGGGCAGGCCCCGAACACCCTCGCCGAGTTCGCGCTCAACCAGCCCAACAACCTCGACTATGTCGACATCTCGCTCGTTGACGGGTTCAACATCCCGATGGAGTTCAGCCCGACGACGAACGTGTGCCGGAACCTGAGATGCACGGGCCCGATTAACGAGCAGTGCCCGAACGAGCTCCGGGCACCGGGCGGCTGCAACAACCCGTGCACCGTGTACCCGAATAGGAACGAGTACTGCTGCAATAACGGGCCCGGGACCTGCGGGCCCACCCCGCTCTCGAGGTTTTTTAAGGAGAGGTGCCCGATTGCATATAGCTACCCGCAGGACGACCCGACTAGCCTTTTCACGTGCCCGGGCGGGACGAATTATCGGGTCGTGTTCTGCCCGTGATCGGATTTTGTTGCGAGGTTTTTATCATCTATATATGTGTGGTTTGACATTGAATAAATAAATATGGGAAAGGAGTTTGATTTTGCTATGAATAATGTTGTAAAAGTTGTAACGAACACATTTTGGTCCGTCACGTATGTACGGACCTTATTAATATGTGTTCTTGATGATTAATGTTCACTTCGTTGTTTGAAGAGTGAGATAATAAAGATGGTTTTGGACTATTTTAGTGACTACAAACATAGTGTGAAAAGTGATAAATTAATATTCATCACTCTCGAGCCAACTAGAAAGACCAAATCAACGTAATATAACTATTGAGAGTGATGTGTGTGGATAATTGAACCATTTCGTATTTTTAATCACAACTAAATAATTTCATATTGAACCATTTCGAATTTCTAATCACAAATAAAATCGACCAGCAAAACGATGTCAGCGTACAACGTACAACCACTCTGACTTGTCTCGAAGCTTGAATTACGAACCAAATCAACCTTCAAAACGAGACACTCAGCGTACAACCACTTTGACTTGTCTCGAAGCTTGAATTACGAACCAAATCAACCTTCAAAACGAGACACTCTTACGCTATAAACATAAATTGAATTATCAATAATTAGTACAACACCCGTGTATTACACGGATGCTTGCTTATTTTTTTCTTAAAATCTAAAATTAATGAGAAAAAGTAGTTGAATTTTAAATACCTTTTACAAATATATATATTATTATATATTTAGTATGACACTTTTATTTGTGCGACTTATCTGTGTCATATTATAATAATTTTGTAACTTACAACATATTACTACATTAAAAATAAATATATCAATTGATAAATAATTTTATATTTTTATTGAATTTTAATAAATATATTATTCTTTATTATTATAAAGATAAATATAATTTATTTATTTCATATATACAATATGGATGTCAAATCGAAGATCATCAAAAGATGATTAATTTGATATATAATATATGTAAAACCGATAAGAAATACAAAAGTTATCAACTTTTAAAATACATTTACAATTTAATAGCTAATTGAAGGAAACAAATCAAAGTTAGGGATATAGTAGTCACTCAGTGCCTCACTATATAAATTATAAATAATTAAATAATTATATTAGTAAAAGTGATATTAAAATACCTAAGTTAGATAAATAATATTTATGGAATGTCCGAACCTAGATTATTAATTATTAATATATCAATATTATTTGTCCAAACCTAATTACGAAGCATGATTTTTCGCCAAGTAAGATTACGAAACACCAGAATCAGCCACGTAGGCTCAGCGCATTCAAGAATTATATATAAGGAGGATACTATGCAATCAATAAAGATTGTGCTAAAAATGAATTTGATAAATAAGGAAAATTAATGACTTAGCTCCCAAAAATAAAATTCCATAAAATATGCTTCCCTAAAATCAAAGGGTGGATACATTTAAACAAAAAAGCTCCCCACACCAACATGTTTTTTAGTTTTTACACCAAAGATATGAATTTCACACAGCTTTGCAAAACATATATATATATTACAGAGAAGCAAACATCCTAAACCTTAATCTAAAGCTTCTCCATTATCAATAGTCATAAGTTAAAAAAAAAAGCCCATACAAAATGTCTAAGTCAACAAGAAACCAAAAGAAAGTTAAAAAAAGGTCATAGTCCAAAACACTCCCTCTTAAAAACTACAGATGTCATGTGCATGTAATTTTTCCAACTGTCTTAAGGGTTGAACTTTCTATGGCCATCCTTGTTCCAGCTAAAACCCGGTGGCAAGTCGATATTTCCCAAGTCAGACGAATTCCCCTGCAACGAGTCGGGCCCACTTTCCTTCCCAGAAGATCCGCAACCGGGGGCATTTTCGTCATTTCTGGAAATATCGGGCAAGTCGAGCTGATGGGACAGTTGTGGTCCCAAGATTCCATCCAACTGATTGCTGTTGTTATAATTATTGTTGTTACAAGGCACGTTGAGATTCTCATTGAAGCAGCCCGGGAATGCAGCCAGTGTATCGTCGATCGATATCTCGCCCCTCAGAGTCTTGAGTGCGAATTCCAACGGGTCGGACCAAGAGTCGCCAAAATCGTAACAGAGCTGTGATTCTAGCGTGTTGTTGTTACCCGTTTGCCCTTCTGGGCCAATCGAGGCATCGTTCGGAGGATTTTCTGTACCGAAATTTGGCTGTTGAGTTTCTTCTGGAGTTTTCTTGCCGGAACGCTCGTTTTCCAGAGGTGGAGGGACTACTACTACTTTAGCCGGAGATTTTGGGGATATAATAGCTTCTTCAGTGGCTGAGGGTCTTCTAGCTGCTGCCTTAAGAGATCGTTGGGTCACAACTGAATCGGGTGGTGTCTCGGGTAGCACAGTGCTGGACAATCTCTTCGAGCCCCGTGAAGGAAAGATTGGATCTTTTCTTTTCTTGGGGTTTTTCGAGTTCCTAGGAGTTTTTTTCTCGGTTGTTTGCTTCGTCTCGGATATGGGAGGTTGCTGCTCGGGTTCGTTTTCAGGGGCTTTATTTTCTGGTTCGAGCCAATTGGCTTCACCAGAGTAGTCATCGTTGATGATCGTCTGTTTTGATAATTTGGCTTCGGAATTTGCTGGAGGTTTTATATCAGAGCTTTCTCCATCTGCCGAAAAGAAAAATGTCATGATTCAATAGCCGACAAGAAAAAAGAAACAGTTTACTGTAAAATATAAGTGAACTAATTAGTTCATTCTTACATGGATTAGATTCTCCACTGTCAAGAGGCTGTCGTGTTTGCTCTGATAATTTCTCTGGAGCTGGAATTGAAGACTACAGAGTATAGACAAAATATAGGCATTTCAGACATTTTTTACTTGAGAGGCAATAGAGAAAAACGATCATTCGAACATTTTTGTACTTATAGGAAGTTAAATAAGAACTTTGACTACTGTACAATAATACAATCCAGGTAATGAGCACATGCACAATTTACTCAACCGAATAAAAAGAAAACAGTTTGATAATAAGCTAAAACAAATTATATGTAGCTGAGTGAGGTTAATTAAAGCTACTTGCTCACCTGGACTTCATTCTTTACCAGATTCAGCTCACTCGACTCCCTTTTTCTTGGTTTGATAGCACAGTTACGAATATCATTGGTGCTAACGTACCGCAAGGCGTCTGGTTTAGAACGAAAAGCATAGCCATTTACCGGGTCGATATAGTACTGCAGAAATATTTAACAAAGCTTTCAGGATATATTATTCCAACACGAACCTTGCCCATACTAAGTAGAAGCAACAAACAAATGGTAGAGAAGGCATGTTGACAAAGTCTAATGCAACAATGCACAATTACCACGAATTATCAAAAAAATTTTATTTTTTTTTTATTATTATTATTATTGTCATAAGGTAAATGGATTAATTACCGGATCCTTTCTAATTTTACTCCCCGATTTACTTGTTACGATTTCTTTTATCCAGCCTGGAGGCAGGTCATCAGCTGCAATCCTCTCAGTGGCAACCTAAAAGTAATTTTAAAAGCAGCAGAAGCCAAATCGTGTAAAAATTTATTTTAACCATATTTAGAATTAATTTTGTGCTCATAAAAAGGACAAACCGGTATGAATGAGCTGCATTTCTTTTTCTTTCCAAGACTGTGACCGGGATTTGTCACAGGTGGGCCAATTGGAGACACTAGTGCAGGTTGTTCATCCACTATGTCAAGCTGAAAAAAAAAAAAAACGAAAATCTAAACAACATGTGAATTTCAAAGAATGCATAACGGATATGGAGTTTTGAGTGCATCAAAGCACATACTGTCTTAGAAGAGTTGTCATCCTTTTTTTCTTGAATGCCATCTATCTTTCTGATGGATAGTACATTTGTAAGCGATTCGTCCACCTTATTAGTCTGAAAAAAAAAATACAGTTGAACATTCAATAAAAAAAAATACACGATTTTCTGAGAAGAAATCGAGTTTTGAGCTCAGCAAATACAGTTTAAACAAACCATTGTGATACTCTCCTTTTTCTCTTCAGGAATGTCTTCTGTATTTGTCATTGACATGCATGGTTGGGACTTGCTTGTGGATGTTACATCCACACTGTCACACTGAAAAAGTACACCAAAATAGATTATGAGAATCGATGGCAAGGCAAGTTTTACAGAAAAATGAGGCGTGAATAAAAATTGATAATGCACACTTTAGTTTGTAAGGTCTTGGGGAGGGAATTCAAGTATCGAGTGACAGCTGCCCTCGAATAAAATCTGTTTCCAGTTGACACGTCAGTATATACCTGCAAGAGTATGGAAAAAGCACACAAACTCGATAAGAAATCCAAAAATAGTTGCCAAAAAATTATATATTAACTAATATGGTTTTCAGTTTTAAAGATTTTCGAAGGAACTATGAATTACAATTTCCACATAGCACAATATCATCAAATTCTCTATGAAAAAGAAAACTTGAAACGAGTACATACACAACTGGATATAAAATGAATATTACTTCCTTCATACACTACAAACCTTGTATACTAATCCTTTGGTTGAACCCCTTTCTCGTGTTCTCTTCTCAACTGTCCACCCATCGGGCAACCATTTCGGTGAATCATCTGTTGTGTCCAACCCCTGTGAACAGAATAATACAAACGAGTGTAAATGAAAAAAGAACATGCAGCAAAGTGCGTAGGACCATTTAATCTCGAAACTCACAGCTTCAGCTTTGCCACTAGAGAAAATTCCCTTGTCGTTGTCATTTGATGATTGACTTTGAGGTGTACCAATGAGATCATTTCCCGCTGTAGCACAACTTAAGACATCTTTCTTGGAATAATATTTTGTACCCATTGCATCATTGCAGTAGTACTGCAATTAGATCAAGCATTATGCATGCATGTTACTTGAGAACTGATATTCTATCGATTATATTTGACAAAGAAAACGATCATTTTGACATTTTAACATGGAGAGATACGAACAAGGGAAGTTTGAAATTTCCCTCTGATTATTTCTTTTTAGTTTTTACCTTATCATTTTTAATTAGGTTTGCATTTTCACATATTTCGCCTGCTTAACCAAAACATAAACGCTAAACAATCAAATAGCTACAAGTAGCATAGCCCATAGCATCTCTAGAGTGACGAATATACGTTTGGTTTTTCAATTTTTGAAAAAACTAATGTCCTTACTATTTACGGACCGGGAGCTGCCGTGTCTAGAAGCTCTCGTTCCTTTGTTGAATATAACGTAGAACAATAGCTTCTTAACCACGGACACATGTAATATACTCAAACCCAAGAAACATGAAACGATCGGGTTATGGATCACCAAAATGATTAAACGCGTCAGTTGTATTAAATGCAACGTCTATTCATATATAGTTAAAGTACGCAGCATGATTTCCCTTTTTGGGAAAACTAATGCACAATTCCTCAGCCACCTCAGAAAAGAAAACCCTACACTTTCACTTCCTTAAAAGGCCCGAAGGCCGGCAGGGCTCTTACCACGACTGCACGTTTCTATAAAGCCGGAGACTGAAAGAACAATCCAAGCTCAAAACCTTGCAACAACTTAACATAAACACTTGAACAGCCCAGCAACTGAACCAACACATAAAACACCAGCTACAGAGTGAAATCAAACACCAATCTTGCTCTTCCTTTCCAACATGCAGCCACATAACAAGCTAGCTACTCAAACACAGAACATACTTAGATAATTCAATGGGAAAAGGGCCAAATTCACAACTCCATTCAGTTGAAATGAAACACCCAAGATCTAATTTCCCTACTAACAGAACCCAAAATCAAAATTTTCACCCAACTTATCTTCTAAATCAAAAGAAACAATCTTTAAACAAACCCACGACAGGAACAAGGGAACAAAACACAGAAATGGTTACCTTAATCTTCTTCCCATTTCTGTACTTCACCTTCTCGGTAAAACCGGACGGGAGCCACTCCGGCGACTTCCCGACAACCATTTCGTCTGAAATTCTTACAAAGATTGAACCTTTTTCAAACTATCAACTAAGTACTAGAAAAACCCATTCATTTTGTTCAGATTTAGGTTAGGAATTTAGCTTCTTGTAAAAAAAAAAGAAAAATGAGAGACGAGACGAAAAGGGGTTAAATAAGAGGCGGTGGGTCGTCTACGGAAAAACGGAAAGCAGTGTGTTCTTAACAACACGTGTTGGTGCCGAGCGCGAGGAATTTCCACACAATAAATAAAACTTCCGAAAATGCTCTGGTCCTGTTACGGAACTATTTCGTTGAGTTAGTAACCGTTAAATCATCATGCAATCGTCGGAGATAATTGATCTAACGATTATAAAGTCCGACGTAAAGTTCCGTAACACAACCATAACATCTCCCTAAAACTTTAGCCTTTTATTTTTTATTTCTTCATTTTTTTCTGCAAGTGGGCTGTGAAATTTAATGGTGGAGATGAAATGCAAAAGGCCAAAAAAAAAAAAAAAAAGGAAAAAAGCAAAAGGGGAAATGCAAAGTAAATGCGGAGAGATTTTCTTGCTCCGATACAGATAATTTACAGTATTATTATTACAAATATCTATAATTTCGGTTCAAGCCTAGATTTTCTGCAATTTTTTATTTTTTTTTGGCTTTTCTTGTCATACAAAAATCCATATATTTTGTACGGTTTTTCTATGAAGTCAACCGTTGGCTTCGTAGTAGTGCCAACCTTCTATATATAGCAAGTAAAACATATCATATTAATGAAATTATTTATTTTGTATATTATTTTTCTTTTTTAGCTTGTTCCATTTCCATATAAGCATATTTCGAGTTTCTAACTCCTAATTATCGAGTTCGAGTCTAAATATTTATCGAGTCAAATCGTTAATTAAATAATTTGATAAAAATTTATTTATCAATAGTAATGAGTAGAGTTAAGCTGACTCGAATCCACTCAGTTTCATTTACAATCTATATAAAATTTTGGTCTATATTGCCTTTGCATTTGTCAAATTTGAAAAAATATGCCAAAAATAAATCTCAACAATAAAAGAAAATATGATACCCTAAAATAGTATAATATTATATAAAATGAAAAAGGTAATTTTTTGGATTAAAATGTAATCTTATTATGAATGTCAGATTTGTGCTAAATTTTCAAAAGTGTCACGAGAGAAAAGGTACGTTTTAAAAAAGCATAGATTTTCTAGGAAAATTATACCACATAAATGTAAGTGTAATTGTATATGAGAAATGCTATATAAGTACGTAATATTGTATATAGAGTTGGACATAACATACATAAGTGATTTCTATTAA